CCCCAAAACCCCAAAACCCCAAAACCCCAAAACCCCAGGAAGTGAAAGAGGTATAGAACAAACTTATGACCCTGGTTTTAATTGAAAATCCTACTTCTTCCCATCTTTTTGATGGAGATTTGAAGAAAATGGAGTAAACATTCCTCCTCCTGGGCTTATTGGGAAATTCTTAGGTCCACTTCTGTTCTCGAAGAATGCATTTGGACTAGCTGTTTAAGATTAGAAGGGAATAGCTTACGTATTGGAGCAAACATGTTGCCAATTCCTCCTTCTCTGTTGAATCTACTGTTAAAGTGTTTAGAACTGTCTAATGCAGGAAATTTCGCATCATCTGGTGTATTTGGAGGAAAGATCGAGTTTGAATTACATGATTGTGGGAAATTTAGAGGAGATGGAGTTCCAAAAGGATTTCCAGTCATATATCCTGAAGCTATATAAAATAGTTGAATATATTTGTAATTTGGGTTTTAAATCTGAATGAGGCTTACTTATCCCGTTAATATCAAGTTCCAATCCCTTAGGACCTAGTTTTGGTGGTTGTGGCTTAGAATCATCTGCCTATAAATTAAATTAAGACTAAAAGAAAACAGAACTTTGTTTTATAAAACATACAAAAGTAAGCACAAGGTGATAGATAATAGTAATATGTTACAAAAGCAGTTTTGTAACGGCCCTGGGTACTAAGGCTGTACTATAATTGCTGTTGTTATTTTCAAGTTAGTCAATCAAATATCAGTCCTTATCAATGCCCATTCGAACCCAATAATTTATCAAAAATGTAACTTCCAAGAGATTGCTGTTCAGACATCTCCTGATGCATACCTGGTTGTTATGACTATTATCATTATCAGTGGCATCATTATTGCTTTTCTCATTCTTATTACTCGTAGCATTTCCGAAGACTTGTCTTAACGAGGTAGCTGGATTGATATGGGGTCTCTACAAAGATATCAGATTTTGAGAAGTTATAAGAAATTACATTTGTTGATCCAAAACTTGGCCTAAATGGTAATTCATGCTTTAGGCTGCCTGGAGTCGGCACTCTGAATTCATTTCTTCTGAAATGATCGTAATTAGGGCTCTTCATAGGGTGTAGATTTGGGTTCGCAAAATTAAAATCAGCTGTTTTCGTGCTGTTGTTTTCAGAAATTGGTTTAGGAGATATTGGGATGCTCTGGAAGTATGTAGGAGTATCTATAGGTAAAATCAGAGAGTTTAAAATTTGAGCTTACTTGGAAATATACTAAGATTTACTCCCTCTGGCCTTCCTCCAATGCCTGGAACTTCATCATTTGTAGGGTTAATTTTTAAATCTAGTCCATCATTATAATCCACCTTGACATATAATTTGGTTGTAACTGAGATTTTATTTGAGCCTCCTTCAAGATCAGGATTAAAATTCATTGATTTATTCAAACCAGAGTAGCTGCAATCTTTTAGCTTAGGGTTCCATTTACCTTGCTTTCTCATTCTTCTTCTTAAAAGATATTGCTTCTGGTATTCCTCTCATCTTGTAGCTTTATCCAGCATGTCTACCTTTTTAGGCTTGGCTACTGTTGGAATGTCAATGAAGTTGACATCGTTCTCTTCTTCCTTTACCTCATCTTGGAAACTTTCAAATTCTGAATTTTTGGGTCTTTTATATTTGCAATCCCTCAGACGGGCGGAGCACCTTCTATCTTGAGATGTGTGCTTATCCAGAATTTCCTGATCAACAGTATCTATCTTAGCATTCTTAAAGGATATAGACTGTAGGTCATTATCATTATCGCTTTTCTGTTCTTCTGAATGATTTTCAGCAGCTTCATCACTAAGGTCTACTTCTATTAATTGTAGCATATTTTTAAACAGCTCTAAGTTCTTATCTAAGGGTTTGCCCCTACCATCAAGATTATTAAGCATTTGCTTTTCATTTCCTGAAATTTTAGATACTGTTATCCCAGATTTCTTCTTGGAGAGCCCCATTAGCTCTTTATTCTCTATTTTCCTAATTTGATAGTAATCCAGATCTCCTGAGTCGAGAGCGTCTACTAAAAATTTCAACTGTATCTGTTTGGCTTGGATATTAAATATCTCACAGAATTTGTTGTTTCTTAAGCACTTGTTGATCTTCCTGAGATGCCTCCTCACGGTCGCATAGAAGTAGTTTTTCACCGTGTTATCAGTCCTACCAGGTAGGTGAGTTGTAATATCCGCCCATTTGTTCCCAAGGTCATGATGGAACTTGAAGATCTTCACACCTTCTTGAAGAGTAATTGGACCTTTCTTTATATCAGGGTTGAGGTGGTTGTTCCATCTTTCTCTAATTTGCTTGCCTGATCTCCCAGAAATATTATAAATATCTCCTAAATGTTTGGCGATTACGGTCCATTTCTTTGTGCCATGGGCCCGTACTAGTTTGACAATAGCTTCATCTTGTTCTTTTGTCCAAAGAGTTCTTCTGCCTTCCTGGTTTTGTCTTCCTATATGGATAGCGTTAGAGAATCAAATAGGACTATTTAAAGATGTATAGAAGACATACTTGACATAATATAAAATATCAATTCTTTATCTTAAAATTGGGGTTTTGGGGTTTTGGGGTTTTGGGGTTTTGGGG